AATATTAGATCAGTTTTTGCCAAGTTCAGAGAAATTAGATTTGCATTTAACCAATGAACTAAACCTTTTAGGTCTAAGTTTATATTCTTACTCATGGAATGATGAGACTTATTAATATGCAAGATTTAGTATCATCAGCAAAAAGATGGATTGATGAGAAGCGGACAGAGTAATTTAGATCATTAATATAAATCAAAAACAATAAAGGGCCGAGTAAAGAACGCTGGGGAACACCACAAACTAATGTTTGTTATTTGGTTTGTAACCATTAATACTAACAAACTGCTTTCGATTTGAAAGATAAGATTTAAACCAGTTACAAGAAACTTCTCGAATTCTGTAATGTTCAAGTTTAGAAATTAAAATAATATGATTAACGGTATCGTACGCTGGAGATAACAGTAAAATATGAAAATTTGGATATTTAAGATTAACTTTTTATAGCTAATGTAAGATAAGTGAATTTTAGAATTAAGTTTATGAGCTACATTTGTGAAAAAGTTGTTCAAATCTTCGCAGATTAGAGTAGGTTCAGTTATGTATGTTTCGTTAACTTGTAAGCAATTTGGAGGTATATTATTGATATTTTTGATATTTATTAGATTTTTTATGCTTTTTAAGGTCTCACGAAGATTTTGTATATTTTCTGAAAAGAATTTTTTGAAATATGTTTTTTTACTCAGTTTTATTAGATTATTTATGGTATATTTATAGCGTTTAAAGATAGTTTTTAGTTTAACTATATTTGCTAAATCTTTTGTCTTTAACATTTTCTCTTGATTAAGGCTTCGAATTTGAATTGATTTTATTATTCCTTTAGTAATCCATGGCTTGAATTGACGTACCTTTTAATAATAGTTTGTTTTGAGTGCCACAATACAATCTAACAACAAAGTTGTTTGAGAAATAAATGCTTCAAAACTGGAGTTAACATCGTTTTTATTGGTAATGTTATTCCAATCAACTTTTAATAATTCAGATTTAAATAATTCTTTATTAAAAATTTAAAGTTCCTGCGGTATAAACTATGATTGCGTGGTATAAATAGTTTGTTAAGATTAGGAAAAACAAGAATTTGAGGTAGGTGGTAAGAAATAAAAGATGTTAGATCTTCTCAAATAATTTGGTTAGTGGTTACGATTGAAAATTATTTTCAATAGTTGCAGCAAAATGGTCAGTAACTCTCGTTGGTAGCGTAATAAATGGCCAAATATTATAAAAAGTAAGTAAGTTTAAAAAATCAGATGCTGCAAACCCAGAGTTTGACTGTATCAGATCGATGTCAAAGTCGCCAAGATGAAAGACAGATTTATTTTCAGGAGTTTTTTTTGGAGAAGGACAACATTTTAATATTGAAATCGTTTACATCCATGCTAGGGTTTCTATATATGCAACAAACAATAATATTTGATTTTTTTGGACAGATTATTTCAACAAAAGTAGATTCTAAATAGTTTGGTATGTATATGATCAAACTTTCTCTTTTTTTTAAATCAATTTTTTTGATAAACATAACAAGGTTCCACCACAAAAAGATTCGGTTGGTGTGTGCTCAAAATTATATTTTTGAATAATAATTGGATGTGTGAAAAGAGATTCTTTTTTTATTCTTGTTTCTGTAATTCCAATAATGTTAAATTCAAAACTATTTAATGATAATAATATGTTAAGATCTTCACAGTGCTAATGTAAAGAAGGTATGTTTAAATAGAAAAAGGACATAGAGTTGTGATGTCAAAGTTATAATAACAAAATTTATTAATATCATAATATTGACAATCTACATCAAAAGATGAACAGTTTTCCTCATCAGAAACTGAAGCATGTGATGCAATAAATTTATTAAATTGAGTACAGACTTTATTCAATCCTAATGCTGGAAAGAGTTTAATTGATAAGGGCAAGTCATCAGTTATAATAGTTTTGAAATATTTGAAGAGAAGAGTAGTTTAAATTCATTATCAGATACATCAATCAATGGAAAGACACTTATCAGATACATCAGTCAATAGAAAGACACCATAATTTACACACAGCTATGTTGAGCGTTTTGAATGTGTTAAATTGTACCCATGATCATAAAGCCTGCTACATTTTGAATGAGTCCAAAACAAACACACATTACATTGAGTTGCAAGGCAACCTACAATAACTTTTTTTGTACATGCAGTGCATACTCCTCTAAAATTAGAGGTCATAGTAAAATAAATGAGAAAGATAAAATAAGAAAATTTGCAAAATTTAGAAGAAATCTTGAAGTTGTTAACTGTAAAGTAAAGAACGGAAAATAATAATGAAAATAACAATGAAAAATAATAACGATACAATTTTATAAATGGTAATTTTAATAGCAACAGTAATAATAATAACAATATTTGCAGTAAATTACGCAGTATGAATGAACAAATTAATATAAAAAAATATTTAATAATTATAAAATAGTAGAATAATTAGTAATATTATATGACTAACCAAAAATAAGAATAAATAACTAATTATA